TGCTTTCATTTTTTCACCTAAAAGATATCAGTCCTCTGTCTGAGGAATATAGCACATTTTTTTCTCATTTGCTAGGTTGTCCCTTCCCTCTAGTGGTTGCTTCTTTTGCTGTGAAGATTTTAATTTGATATGATCCCATTTGTTGATTTTTGGTACTATTTCCTGTGCTATCAGGTTTCTTTTAAGAAAGTCCTTGCCTATGTGTATGACTTCAAGAGTTTTACCTATTTTTATCTTTCAGTTTAAATGTTTAACGCTTAGGTCTTTGATCCATTTGACATTGGTTTAATATATAGTGACAAATTTGGGTCTAGATTCAATCCTCTGCCTGTGGACAGCCAGTTTTCCCAGCACCATTTATTAAAGAGGTTATCTTTACTCTAGTGTGTTTTTGGCCCCTTGGTCAAAGATAAAATAGTTGAATGCGCTTAGGGTTTTTCTGCATTTTTTATTCTGTTCCATTGATCCTCATCTGTTTCTTGTGCCAGTGAATACTGTTTTTGTCATTGTAGCTTTGTAATGTAATTTTAATTCAGAATTGTTACACCTTCAGCTTTACTCTCGTTACCCAGGATTTCTTTCTTTTTAATTCTGGGTCTCTCCTGGTTTCTTATGAATCTTTGGATTGTTCTCTCTAGCTCTGTGAAGAAGAATGCTGTTGGTATTTTAAGTGGGGTTGCATTAAATCTGTGCAACAGTTTTGGAATTATGGCCATTTTGACTATATTGGTTCTGCTATCCAGGGACAGGGGATATCCTTTCATTTTCTAATATCTTCTTGTATTTCCTTTTTTCTAAGAGTACTGTAGTTTTTGCTGTAGAGATCTTTCACTTCCTCAGTCAGTTCCTCGGTATTTAATTTTCCTAACACCATCTATTTTTAAGCATGTGCTCCTCGACAGACTAACATAAATTGTGGGGGGCATAACTCCATGAAGCACATTTTACCAATGAAGAAACTGAGTCACAGAAAGGTTAAGTTACTTCCAAAAGTAAATTGCTAGTAAATGTTACAGCCTAAATTTGAAGTCAGCTGCATTATTTGCTGACTTTCTTGAGTAAGAGATGGAACCATTTCTCTCTACCTTTCTGGTTATTTCTTCTCAGTCTTGGTAACAGCATCCTTCTCCTCTATCCAATTTCTTCCTTTTCTCAATAATATGCACTCTTGAGGTCAGTGAATTGCAAGGCTTTAAGTGCCATCTGTATGCTGACGGTTCTTCATTTTTTTTTTTTACTCCAAGTTCTTCCTTTGTTTTCCCCCTTCCTTTCTTTTTTTTTTTTTGTTGGTTGTGGGGGGCATTTTTTCTTCCCTCTTCAAGCTTTCTGGTGTTTGCTGCCAATCGTTGGCTCTCCTTAACTGGTATATGCATCACTCCAGTCACATGGCCATGTCCTTCCCATGTGTCTTCATGTCTTGTGTGTGCGCCAGTGTTTAGACTTCTCCTTTTAATCGCAATGCCAGGCATACTGGATTAAAGTCCATGCAATGAACTCACTTTATCTTCATAACTCTGTCAAAACCTTATTTCCAAATAAGGCCACTTTCAGAGGTACTGGGAGCTACAAGTGTGTTTTTTTGGAACATGACTCAGCCCATAACACCAATGTCATGAAAAGGACCTTAGTAAGTAAAAGAGGGAGGCAGGTGAGTCACAGCCATTCCTCCTGAGAAAGACTGGAAGGGGCACTGCTGATGATGTAGGCAGAAGGTCAGAAGGCCATAGAATGCACGCAGCTGGAAAAGGAAAGACAACTCTCTACAGTCTATAGAAAGATACACATGCCTGCTGACATTTTTCCTTTTTTGGCCCAGTGACATCTGTTTTGGACTTCTGTAATCCAGAGCTATAAAATAAATATGTTTTAAGTCACCAATTTTGTGGTAATGTATTACAGTACCAACAGGAAATTAATATACACTCTAAGAGAATTCCTAGTTTAGGATTTATGAGTAGTTCCCTCTACTTAAAGCACCCAGATAATAACATGGTAGCCCCCCCCAATTGAGTCTTTGCTTCAATGACACCCCTTTACAGGCCTTCCACTACAAACCGAATGTTTATGTCCCCTTGCCCAAATGAAAACATGAACCCAGGTGTGACGGTATCCAGGGGCTTGAGTCACGAGAGTAGCACCCTCACAATGGGATTAGTGCCTTTGTAAGAGAGATATAAAAGTTCTGTCTCCTCTGTGCCACATAAGGACATAGCAAGAAGATGGTCATCTGCAAATCAGAAAGCAGACACTTACCACATACAGACCTGTTGGCACCTTGATCTTAGATTTCTCCGGAAATGTGAGCATTAAGTGTTTCTTGTTGAAGTTGTCCAATCTATGTTGGTTTGGTACAGCACTTAGACCTAAGGCACCTTCCTTGACTATTCATTTAAGCTACTCTCTATCACATGGCTGTTTTATTTTCATCGTGGAGGTTATAACTTCTTGTTACCTCTTCATGTCATTATAAATTTAATCAAAGCGGAAACTACTTCTCTCCTTTTTTCTTGTAACACTAGTATCTAGACTAGTGCCTGCTACATGCATGGCATGAGCTCAATATTTAATGAATAAGCAAAGTGTTTATTCCATCCAGGTAAATGTACAAACTGCATCCTATTTACTCTTTTCAGCAGCCCAGTGAGATAGAATTCCTATCACTGTTTTTTTAAACTCCACAAGAACAGGCACAGGTATATCTATGAATTTTTAGCAAAAGTGTATGTTCATAAATATTAGGAAAAGTATATGAACGATATTCAAAGATATTAAGTAGCCAGTGTGAACAACAAATCTCAGAAAGTAGGTATCTGCTACGTTAATGCCTATGGCTTAGTATGTTGAAAGATTCCACAGCCAGTTGGAACCAAAAACATTTTGATTGGGATGATGTCAGATGAGGTGGAAGGTGTGACACTGAGAAAAACTTGAGTCAAAGAGGCACAGCAAAGAAAAAAATGAGTGAGAGAGAAAAGTCGTAAGAGTTACTAAAGACAGTAATGGAACAATGAGAAGGCAGGGAAGGGCCTTGTAGTGGGTTGAATGGTGGCCATACCAAAGATAAATTCTGTCAAATCCCTGGAAGCTTGAGTATTACTGTATTCTTTTCCTAGGGTTGCTGGAACAAAGTACTATAAACTGTGTACTGTAAAACAACATTTGGCTTCTCATAGCTCAGGAGGCCAAAAGCCTGAAATCAAGATGTTGACAGGGTTTGTTCCTGCTAGAAGCACTGAAGAAAAGTGCTCCAGGGGCCGGGGATATAGTTCAGCGGCACAAACGCCTGTCTGGCACGCACAAGGTACTGAGTTCGATTCCTGGTACCAAAAAAAAGGAAAAAAGAAAAGTGTTCCATGTCTCTCTCAGCTTCTGGTGGTTGCTGAGGACTTATGGCATTCCTTGGCTGGTAGACACAACAATCCAACAGCTCAGTTTCTGTAATGATCTTTTAATACAAAAATATCCCTTCAATGAGTATGATGTAAGCCTTTTTAACCTAGGATGATACTATCAAAAATATATAGTAAACTGTATTTCATATATATCCACTGTAACTGTCTTATAATTAACATCAGATTTTATGATAGTTCATGTGCTTCTCGTGTTTATAAATTGTGTGCTTCTGCCCATAAAGTTCTTTTTATCTTGAGATTAATTTTTTATTTCATATTACCGCAAGTGTAATTACATGACACTGGGTGGTGTGTGATCCACAAACCATAACACAGCTGTTTAAGGCAGCTCAGTTTTTGGATAAAAATCACGTCTTCAAGACAAAGTGAATTAAATACGGAAACTCACACGATGTGCCTCCCTCACGCTTTGAATGAATTCAGAATCATTTCAGCATCAACAGTGCCTTCCAAAGCTCACTGAAGTTTCACAGTCATTCAAGGGGCAGATGATGCCAGGCTACTTCAAAACGTCACCACAGTGTTTCATTTGCTTGGGTGCCTAATGGGGAGGAGCTGATGCTCCTACAGTCCTAAAGGTAGGAAGTCCATTCAAGGAACTAGCAGTGTCAGGGCTCACCAGGAAATACTTCAAGGAAAGCGCAGGGGACCGACCTCAGGACCCCGCGCCCCTCGGAAGGGGTCCCTGGTCGCCTGCCCAGAGCTGTGCTGCTGCCCTGCCGGTGAGCGGGAGGGGGTGGGGTGTGTGAACCTGACCTGGACTCGCGACTGAAGACCCTGCTTCGCCCACGTGCAACTTGTGGGTGGGACGCGATGTGCACAACCGCTCGCCGTCCCGAAGCGGGCCTCGCGCGCCCCGCAGTGCGCCCCTCTCCCGGCCAGGTGTCTGCTCGGGACGAGGTCCGGCGAGCCCCGCCCGCAGGCAACCGACTTGGTGAGGTCCCGCCCGCCTCCTCCGAGGCAGTGGGTGCAGGAAGGCTTGGACGCTTGCCAGGAATACCACTCGCAATGCACGCCCGGGGTCAGAGCTCCTCCACTCGGGCGCCCCTTTTCCCCGCGGACCGCCGAAAGCACCCAGCAGCACCCGCCCTCGCCAGGAACCTGGGACGCGAGAGGCCGCCCCGCCCTGCCCCGCGCGACGTCACGCCGGCGGCCGGAGGCGTCGTAATGTTTCGAAGAAGCGCGCAAAACAAACCTGGAGCGCCGCCGGTGCACCTGGGAGGGAGATATTCCCGTCCCAACCGCGCGCCAGTCCTGCTCGCGAGCTCCTGTCAAGCAGAAGGGAGGATCACGGGGCGCGTGTGCTCTAGGAATGCGGCCAGCTGTGCCTGAAGGTTTGCTGTACGCGAGAGACTTGCTGAGGCGGAGTGGCTGTGGCTCTTCACGATGCTTCCCCGCTCTGTGTTTCCGAAGCCGTGGCAGGTAGGGGCGGTAGCGGGTCTTTTAGTCCTCCGGCGTGGCTAGCGTTCCTTGCCCAGTCGTCTGCACTTGCCAGTGTGGCCCAGGTGTCCGTTTCAGATCATCTATACTTGACCGCGGTCGGAAAGGTTCTGTGCAGTAGTGCGCGCCTCTTAGGCGGCGCGTGGTAGCAATGGCGGCGCTCTGTGAGGCTCTCCCGTCACTGGATACTACTACTCCCAGCCCTCCTCCTAGCCGCCGGAGCAACCCTCTGCTCTGTAGTTTACAAGTGGCAATTTGACTTGCTCTGCTGCATGTCTGGAGGCACCGAGGAAAGTGTGGAGACGCCTCGGAGATTAAGGCACCGCAGTTTGCAAAGGAAAAAAGCCAAACAAATAAACCAAACCCACCCACCCTAGCAAACATGAGGCTGCTGGAGAGGATGAGGAAAGAATGGTTCATGATCGGAATCGTGGTGGCCATCGCCGCAGCGAAGCTGGAGCCGTCCGTAGGCGTGCACGGGGGTAAGAGCCGCGCTCTGTGAGCGGTGGGCAGCGCCTGCCCCTGTCTCGGGCACGGGCCAGCCTCGCGTGTCCCTTGGCCCCTTTTGCTGATTTTCTGATTTACCAGCCCTAGAGAGCGCTTGGAATTAGGAATGCTGTGGGGGAATTCGAGCGCAGATTGCCTTTGCCGCGAACAATCAATGACTCTCCTCGCTATCAAGGAGTGAAGTTACAGAGAATGAAACTTAGTCCTTTTGGCTTCTTAGTAGCATCTCAGCCCAAGGGACTCTGGGTCGCCAGCACTTTATCTGTCTTGGAAACCAGACCTTAATCTCTAGTTTATTTCCGACTCCTCCCCATTAAAAAAAAAAAAAAAAAGTGGAGGGGAAAAAATAAAAAAGGAAAAAGAAAAGACATTCCTGCCCCCAACTCAGATTTTGTGGCCTACATGGTGAGAGTGATGACTTGCTGCCGTTGCTGGCATCCCTGAAACTCTCAGGCCAACTGACACGTCGCACACTTTCATTACTGGCCACTACTTCCGTGTGCTGGCGGGATTCAGTTGCTACACTAGCAATCTAACAGATGCAGACTATGTGTAGTGTGTGTTTTGGCGAGGAGACATAGATGTGCTAAAGACCTGCTTAACTCGCCGAATAGTGGGAGCTTTGTAGTGTGGGCTGTGGACGCTGCTGGGAACACTGGACATGTCGTGAGCCCTTCATAACCTCCCTGTCCCACCTTTAGACAGCCTTTTGCTACTTTTCATAAGCGGTAATTTAATCCCTTACGTTCATTCGTCTTTTGACCTTGTATGTCAGTTTCCAAGCTTATTGACAGATTTAATAGGTAAGTCATATAATGGCAGCACACAAAGACAGAAAAGAATACACACAACCTTTTTATAGTAGGAAGTGTTCATGAGGATATTTGAAGTTATTTGTACCCTTTTGTTAAAATGTGATGGAAATGAATGAATGATCTCTCAGGAGAATATTCTTTTTTCTTTTGACCTTCATTTCCTCCTTTCAGAATAGTGTCTGAAATCATATTAAACAAAGATTGTGGATATGAAAGCTTTTTAAAAAATGTCTTTTTTTTTTCTATATTTAATTGAGTGCAAAATGTATAGACTTTTGTTCCTTGTGGTTTTTCCCTCTGAAGATACCAGTTTTGTCTTTGGCACAGCCTTTCTGTGAGTCTTTTGGGGAAATTTATAAAGGCTGATATTTCAGATTATGTCAAATGAAGAAATCCCATTCCCCTGCCCAGGATTAAAGTGTCTTTGTGGTGATCTGCAAGGCACTGTTCACAAGTTAGAGCTTCTGGTGTTAGAGCTCTAATTTCCCCAGTTTGGAGATGAAAATACAGGTGCATGATCATGATCTTTATGTTTAAATCTGCGGGGACTAGGTTTGGCAAAATATCTTTCACGTTAGTTCCCTGAATGTTGTGTGGGCAGGAAGGTTGCTGAAAGGTGAATCATTTCCTTAGGGCTTCCCAGCAGTGTCAGATACAAGATAGATTCTGTACTCTTGTTTGTTCTCTTGGACTAAGCTGATTGAAGTTTTGGTACATTGGTGTATTTTAGGAATATTGTCTCCCATTTTCCCTAGTCCGTAGGGTATTAAAGTAGGCTACTTCATTTCTGTGCTTAATTATAGAAGAGTAGAAGGAGAATGTTAAGAGCTGGAAGGAACCTTTTAAACCAGCATGCTACTGTATTTTTTTTGTTGTTGAGATGCTGGAGATTGAAACCAGGGCTTCTCACATGGTAAGCAACGGTATCCACTGTAACACTGAAGATACTTCCACACATGCTTCTATTATAGCTGAAGGTACTGAGGCCTGAGACCAGGTGAGTCATCTGAAGCTAAATTAGCTAGCTCAGGGAAAAGGAATGACTGGAGATCAGGGCTCCTCTCTTTTTATACTGGTGGCAAAATCCATAATAACAGTTCTGGCAAAAATCATTAAAAATGAATAAGCATTACAAAGAAGGGTCCCTGTGGAATAAAGACATTTTCCATCCTCTGATTTTTAGCCCAGAGGAACAGAGCAGAATCAGCTAATACCAGACTACAGCGGATTCATGTGATTTCTTCCATAGCTATCCTTATATAAAAGTTTTTTCCTAGAAACAAAAGTTCCGACTGCCATGGAGCTTTTAACTAGTCCTGCCATCCTGGCCACAAAAACTTCTTAAAATAAAAACAAACCTCAAAATAGTACCAAATAACACTTCCACTCCACTAGTTAAAACAACAAATATCTAGGAAAAAGGGAAAAAGGAGAGGAGTGGTTGCTGAAAACATTTCTGTTATATCCTGCTCTTTACAATGGTTTAAAGTATGTCTTTTGTCTTGTAACTTTTAGTTACCAGATCCCATTTATGGGTTCTGTGCCCTAGGAAGATGATTTTTAATGCATTCACATTGACTGGACATTTTTCAGTTCTGTACTTTGCTAGACATTTCTTTTAGGAAAAATGTTATTTTTTAAATTGTTGTTAATCACTTTCACCTTGATTCATACTTTAATGACTACATTCAGTTTTTTAATTGTTTTAGTCCTGGGGATGAAACCCAGGGCTTTGTACATGCTAAGCATCCCCACACTAGACCCTTTTTTTACAATATTTTTTTAAAATATCACACATGTGTATGGTTGGACCTCTCTTAAAAATACATATACATATATAGGCATAGGCAAAGACTTTCTGAAGGAATACTTGGTGCATAGGAAGTAGTGTCAAGTATCAACAAATGGGATCATATCAAATTAAAAAGCTTCGGAAAAGCAAAGGAATTAGTCCAGAGAGTGAAGAGACCATCTACAGAATGGGAAAAACCATTTTTACCAGCTATTTCTAGAACAAGGAACTTACATATATAGCCTCAAAATAATTAGACTCCCTAAAATGAAAATCCGGTTAAGAAAGGGTAACTGAAATAAAGGTACTTCTCGGAAGAATGAATACAAATGGCCAGTGAATACGTGAAAAAATGTTCAACATTCCTGGCCATTAGAGAAACGCAAATTAAACAATACTCAGATTCTATATTTCTCCAGAAAGAAAGGCCATCGTGAAGAAATGAGGTAACAACACATGCTAGAGGAGCTGGCAGGAGAGACCCTTCTACACTATTGTTAAGAATGTAAACTATTGAATGTAAACTATTGTTAAGAATGTAAACTATTGAATGTAAACTATTGTTAAGAATGTAAACAGTTGAGGAAATCAGTATGGAGATTTCTCAAAAAAAAACTCAAGAAATTACATTTGACCTAGTTACTGTATATCCTTTAGGTATCTTCCTGAAAGAAACAAAGTCATCGTACAAAGTGATACTTGCATACCTATGTTTATAGGTATTTGCAATAGCTAAATCTTGAAAGTGGCCTGTGTATCCATTTACAGATGAGTCAATAAAGAAAATGTGGTATTTATACACTACGGAGTACTACTATGCCATAAAGGATAAGCTTAAGTCATTTGCAGGGAAATGAACACATATTGAAACAGTCATGTTAAGTGAAATAAATCAGACACACAAGTTTAAATATTATATAGTTCTTTGTTTATGAGAAACTAAAAATGTAAATAGAGAGCAAAAGAAAAGATACGTAATAGGAAATAGTGAGGTAGAACGTTTGTCCATGGGAACGAGATCAAGAGATGGAGGGAGAAGGGAAGGAGAAAGGAATGAAGATGTGACCTGTACAGGCATCAACTCCCCCTGAAGAATGTGCTCATTATGTACTACAATTATGGACTGATACAATATAAATAATAAAATAATACATGTGTGTTTATAGTCAGTGGGTTAGTATAACACAAAACGCATTGAAGTAGGAATGCTAAGGTTAGAGAAGTTGAAAAGCTTTCTTAGTAGGAAGAATTACAAGAGATACTAAGTGTAGCTAACTGAATTCTGAGTTCAGTGTTTTTACTCAGTTACATCTCATTTTTTACATATATATAATAGATTGAAAGTAAAGAGCCATAGTGGATTGAGTATTTAGATTCTCAGGGGTTGGTAATCTTTTCCACTGTGACCTCAGAAAGCCCTGAGCTATTGCTGTGCATCTTAGAATTTATGAGAGTTCAACACTGTGCTGCTCATTTCTTGGAGGAGAAAAGCTTACTTCTTTGGCTTTACAAGAGTTTGTCATTTCCACCTGGATTTTAAACGATTGCTGTTAATAAGACGTTAATCCTAAAAAAGGCAACTGATCTGTTTTTCCATCAAAAAAACATAACAAGAAGCATTCTATAAGCTTTAGTATATTGCTGTGACTATCTTACAATATTTTAGATGTTTGCAAGGAAAATTTACTTTGTTGATTAGGTGGCTTTTGTCTAATAGAAGTAGTTTCTTGGATGCTTAAGTATTCCAAAACATTTTCCTTTCTTCATCCCAATGAAAAGCATAGTTTTTTTTTGTTTTTGTTTTTCTCCAGTACCGGGAACCGAACTCACGACCTTGTGCTTGCCAGGCAGGCGCTTTTGCCGCTGAGCTAAATCCCCAGCCCCTGAAAAGCATGCGTTTTGGAGCCCCCATATTGCTTTGTGTGTGTGTGTGTGTGTGTGTGTGTGTGTGTGTGTGTGTGTTTGCATTTGTTTTGAGACAACGTTTCTAGTATGTAGTTTAGGGTGGTCTTGAGCTCACTACATAGCACAAGCTGGATTTGAACTTGTGGTGCTTTGTACGGCTATGCTGTATTGTCTTCCTTTTTTAATGGCCAGTTTTTCTGATTGTGCCACCACAATTCCATTTTTGTTGAAAAACATTTTTTGAATTTTCCCTAAAGAAAAAGTAAAAACATACCTGTTTGAGCTTTATAACTATGTTAAGATCTCAGTCTAGTTATTTTGGTAACTTGAAGGATATATTTTTTGAAGAAGGGACAAGTATAATTTTTATATTATAGTTTCAGCTGACTTCTCTGTGTAAATATTTGCTAAGTTTTTATTTCGGCTGTGGGTGACTTCGCATGCTGCCTTCCCAAGTTGGGCCAGCGTTTAGTCTCTCAGGTAAGTATGTCTCAGCGGGGCCTTGAGTTCATTTAAATGAAAATTGATTTGTCTTTCCTGGGGAAGGCACACTCTGAGTAGCCCCAGAGTCCTCCCCATGGCCTTTCATAGATTAGAGTTACATAGATCTGCATCTGTTATAAAAGACAGTATACTTTGGCTCTAGGATTTAAGACATTCAAAGTCTAAGATTATTCCCTTGAATTACACTACTTAGTTAATAGTTTCGTGTATTCATGTATGTGTGTATGGATTATAGGAACAATTAACTTCTTAAAAACCAAAGTAAATAGAATATAAAATATTTCATATTTCTGCTAAGATTCCCAAAGAGGAAAGATCTGTTGACTCAGGTATTAGATAAATCAAATACAGGCAATTGATTTGTGATTACTAGGGACTCTTGTGAAAATAAACTAAAATAGCAATGTGGCTTTTATAGGCTATTATTAATGTCCATAATTGTAAAAATGTTTTTGAGCATTCCATTTGCAGTTTTTAATAAAATGATAATGGCTACAACTAGCTACAGAATTTTATAATAAGACTTGCATGGTATGCTAGGGAAAAAAGAAAGGAAAGTTAGGCTACGTCACTGGGCGGTGTGTGCCTATAATCTCAGCTACTTAGGAGGCCTCAGCAGGAGAATGGCAAGTTCAAGACCAGCCTGGGCAACTTAAACTCACATGGGGCTGAGGGTGCAGTTCAGTAGTGACTAGTTTTGTGGCATGTGTGAGTCCCTGGGTTTGATCCAGATCACTGCCAAGACAACAGCAACAACAGTGATGGCAACAAGTAGTTATTGGTCAACTCGACGGCAACAACAAGTAGTTATTGGTCAACTAAGGTAGATGCCTTCTCTGTGCTGCAGAGACACGCAGTGCAAGTCCCACATAGTCTATGGAGATGCCTTTTTAGACATGTCCCTGCGTGCTCTTGTGTAAACATGTTGCTGACTCTGACTCCTCTTGTGAAGAAATTTTAGAGGCACCACTGTAAACAGATCCTTAATCAACCAGAATGTCTCATAAAAAACAGGGATTTGGAGGAAAATAAAAGTAACATAAATTTTAAAACACAAAGATATTTGAAATTTTTCCAAAGCATCTACAGTACTTCTAAAACAAACCAGATTCCTTGACCTTAAAATTTGTTTCTGAATCACCTACACCTTCTTAATGTGAACTGAACAGACTCATTTAAAGTTATGAAGTTTATGAACATTGCTTTGAAATGTAACACCTTTCATACTCATCTTTCTTTTCTCAGATCTCAGCAAAATGATTTGTGTTAATTTCAAGTATATAAAATAGTTCATTGCAGTGTTTGACATCTTTGTTTTATCACGTTGTACTACTACAAATGCTAAAGGTATAGTAGGTGCTCAGTAAATACTTGTGTTGTACTCATTTTTTGAACAATGTCTGTAGATTTGGTGGAAGTTTTTGGAGGAGCCTGTGTTTGTCTTCTCATGTTTCGCTTTAAAGTAACAATTTAACAACAACAGAGGACCTAAATAACAAATTACCACAAACAGTATGGCTTAGAACAACAGAGATTTATTCTTTCAGAGTTCTAGAGGCCAGAAATACAAAATCAAGATATTCTGCAAATTAGCCGTGTTGGGGCTGGGGATATAGCTCAGTGGTATAAGCACCTGCCTGGCAAATACAAGGTCCTGAGTTCAATTCCTGGCACCAAAAAAAAACAAAAAAAAAAAACAAAAAACAAACCAAAAACACCAAATTAGCCATGTTGGTACACACCTATAATCCCAGCATTCTGGGTGGGTAAGGCAGGAGGATCAGAAGTTGGAGCCCAGGCTAGGAAACTTAGCAACTTAGTGAGGCCCAGATTTAAAATAAAACATAAAAAGTGCTGAAGATACAGCTCAGTGAGAAGGCCCTGGGTTGATTCCCCAGTAACACACACACACACACACACACACACACACACACACAC